CCTCCCCCCCCCCCCCCCCCCCCCCCCAATACAAACGTCTGCTAAATTTGGCGAATTGATCTATCTTTGCTCGCTTTGGACATATCACCTTTAAACCTGGTAAATTACTGATTGAAACACGCTCTTTCCAGCCGTGCCGATGGTTATTTGCCGAGTGGACGAAATTTTGGGCTTTTGAAAACGAATGTGAGGAGAGGACTTTCACGTATTTGTCCGTCAAGTCTCTGTGACTTCTGCTTTCTAAGTCTTATCAGCGCCGCGGGAAAACTGAAATGTGCGTCTGCTCCGACACAAACACCGGGCGATGGGGGTACTTATTTAGACCTTCTTTCTCTGAACTAGCTAAAACTAACTGGAACTGACTTAACGGAAAAGAAAGTGATGCTATCGTAATTGAAATTTAAAATTGAGTCAGTGAAGTTCAAGATAAAATACTGGCTTTATTCCCAGGAGCAATAGCTTCCGGGTTATCCTTAACATATCCTCACTAGTTCATAAAGTGCGTTGGAGAAGAGGGAAGAGTGGGAAGCCGGTTAAACTGGTAATTCGACCGACGGGGTGGGATCTTCTTTTGAGAAGGGCACTCATAGGAGAATGATAATGCACGCGCACAAAATGCATGCATGCATGCACAAAAAGAATGCACGCATGGATGGACACTGGGGGGCAAAAGATTCCCGGCACTGCCGTCCGTGGCTCTCGTCTACTGCCGTTCGTCAGGAACTCATAACGGGTTGAGCAGTTCCTTACGAGTACCTGGGTTAATAGAAAAGGCAAACGAGATAAGCCCTCATTACGTGTTTCAGATAAAAGACCGTGCCTTCTCGGAGGCAAAACATTCGGCAACACGGAGTTTAAACTTAAAACGAGACAAGTATTACAAACATAAGTTATACATGATGTGTGTTGTTCAAAATTGTAATAACTTTTGATCTAAAAGCAGGGTACAGAGAGAAGAGAAGTCGTTACGTCACGTTGCCATGGTAGTATAAATTTCTGGATGACAACAAACCGAAAACGTCACTCAAAAAGCGAGTTCGCACTGTTTCAAACTTCATCAATCTTATTCAATTTCATATAATTTGCCACATGTAGGCGAAATTTTCTGGGATTGAATCAAGGCTCGAAATAATTTCCGGAAAGTCTTCAGACACGATGACCGGCCAAATTCATTTTAACTCGGTCACTTATCGTTTCTGGCCGGTCAAATTTATGAGACAAATAACTCTTAAAAAAAGGGCCAAAAAACAGCTGTGGGTTCAGATAAACGCGGGGTCGAGGGGCCGCGAAATTTGTTAGAAATCTTATCTAATACATGTCGATACAACATATTTGAAACTTATCTCGGCTATTGGCCGTCAACTTCATCCCCACAACGAACGAACAACATTCCAAAACTACCAGGCATAAGTTATGTTGGGGACAACTGGGCACTCACTAGTCATGATGTTTTAAAAAGCTTTGCCATTGCCTCATTTCTCGAGCGCTTTGTTATTAAAATAGCAAGTGATTATCTCTGTTAAAAAACTTTAAACATGCTCGTCAAATCAGCACAAAATCAATCGATTTCTAGCGAAATTTGTGCAGAAAATTCCCACGAAATCGGCCGTTTTTATCTATTGTTTTTCGGCGAAGTTAGTCCCGAAAATTTTCGCGAATTTTTCTGCGAATCTCTCTAAAAATCCCGCGAAACTTGACTTTTCTCCGCGACCGATCAGACGCCCTTAAGTTGTTGCTTAACTCATAAAAGTGAAAATATTTTTAATTCTGTGACCGAAAGCGCGTGAACCCCAATGTCTGTTTCAATGCGCGAATTGTAAACAACGGTTGTAGTTGTATTTCACCCAGGATTTCAGATCAACGTTTCGCAATGCACAGCGACTCGCTACATACTGATAACAATTGAAACAACTGATTTCATTTTCAATACGATCGATTGTGACCGGTCAACATGACCGGTAAGACGAAAAGTTGACTGGTCAACTCCCCAATCAGTCCGGACATTGTCCGTTGACCGGCCGTTATTTCGAGCCCTGATTGAATCCGCAAGGGCCCTATCTAAGTTTTATACAAAAAGAGAAAAAATTGTGTTGTGCTCACCTACCGAGAATATTGCCTGCGTGCAGACGTCTCCTATTTCCTTTGTTGCACGCGGAAAAGGTCCCTTTTCCGCGTGCAACAAAGGAAATAGGAGACGCCTGCACGCAGGCAACCGAGAATAAAGCGAGCGCGAGAAATTAGGAATAAATGTACAAAAATGCGAGATGTACGTGCAAGTTGTTGTTTAGCTGATATAAACGTATCGCTTTTTGTCGTTCTCGTTGCCCTCGCCGTTGTCGTTGCTTAAGCCGGCTCCCCATTGTTGTGATCCAGAAAATTTGCTACCATAGTAACGTGACGTCACACTTCTCTGTCACTTCTCTCTATTTTAAGAGATATTTCTATAAATACAAAACAAAACTTATATTTATTCTTCCATATGCTAAATATTTTAAAATGCGCTAATGAAAGTTTAGGTGAAGAATAGAAACAGCCGATAAAATATATATCTTCAACCTACTGTTTTCACGCGCTGAGCAGTTTTTTTCTGTCGAAATAGTTTCTTTCCGAAGAACTTTCTTTGATTTCTTTTCGTGCAGATAGATTCCTAGTGCGATTAAATATTAGATTAATATTTTCCCATTTTTTACAGTGCACTATGTGGTCATTTGAAATTTGTTAACTCAAGACAATTGGTTTCGGGCCATTGTTGTCGAAATTCTTTCTTACTTTACAGTAACATTTCTTTATTTCATTTTCTGAAAAATGTATCATTTTCTATTCAGTGAGTAAGGTCCGGTTCAGACGTCGAACGTTACACTGAATTAACCCATTCGCCCCTGAACCGCCCGTAACCGCCCGTGCGGATCCAGGTCCTTTCTACCCATTGTGACGTCATCAGCTTTAACGGTCAAGGACAACTTTCTTCGCTAACTTGTGCAGAGTGAAGAGATCTTTCAAACCATACCAGAATGAGCACAATTTAGTCAAGGACACCGGAGAAACAAGCAAAAAACCACGTGACATTGACCGGAAAATCTCCATGAAAATCTTGTTAAATTACCCACCTACCTTTCCTTTCGCCTAATCCTAAGATCCTAAAAGCTTTCCTAAAAACTCTTCCCACCAAAGTGAAGCCTACTAAATGCCCAGCAAGAGAAAAAAAAAATGAGGCAAGAAAAGCGAAAAAAGAAGGGAGGAGAGAAAGCGAAAGGTAAAAGTCAAGACTGCTGTGTCACTTTTAAACCCCAAAACTACCTCGAAATTTTGCTTTCTGCGCATGCCCGAACTTCGCAAGCTGATATTTTGCATCTGGATTCATCTGGATCAGAAGGCCGCGAAGTGTACGACCTGTAAACCGGTTTCTGGTAAGTTTTAGCTCTTTATAGCACGACAGTGACCAGAAAACCACTCGACTAGCTTCAAAACGCGTTTTTCGGCAAAATCTCCAGGAGCGAATGGGTTAAGTACATGAAAAGTTCGGCGTCAATTAGGAATGCCTGTTTTAATTTGGAACGGCTTAGCCGTTCTTCCCGACCTTCTCGCCTCGACTTTGGATCGGCTTTGATTCAGACGCCGAACTTTTCATGTGCCGAACCAAATGCATTAATTATTATGTCACGTATTTTCTGAGCAAATTTACGGAAATGAATATTTTTCACCTTTTGAATCAAGTCCGGCTGGAATTAAGATCGGCGTCTTAATCAATTCAGTCGGTCTAAATAATTTGGGTCGGCCTTAATTCGAATTAGGATCGGCTCATGAAAAGTTCGGCACCTGAACCGGGCCTAAGGGTAGTTTCTCCTTAGGTGTTATACGAGAGATCGTCCAACTAACGTTAGATGTGAGCCGGTGTGCAGCGTTCTCAATCTCCGCACCCAGCGCACAACCATTTCCTTAGAAGTTCATTTCAAGAGAACTCTTCTGTCCAAGACCTTCCCTCCAATCACGCCAGCAACGGTTGTCGCTCATTGTCCGCGTTTATTTCACCATACTGTGGAGGAGGTGTTTGTTTCTCTGGCACTTTAAGACGGTGAAAGGACAAGAACATTAAAATCTAAACAAGAAAGGATGAAAGAAGCAAGTGAAAATTGGCTTAATGTATAACAGTTTGTACCGATTTGGGTGATTGAGGTTTCTGAGTTACAACTGACCACCCACCCCTCCCCATATGTCAACTTCTCAGTTAGGGCAAAATTGTGACAAAAGTGGGGAGCTGGTCAGTTACCCAGAAACCTCTTGCTGTACAAAAACTATAAACATGAACGAGGCAAACGAAACCACGCCTCTTGTTCAACTTACGGCTAAGATGACTTCGAGACCAGCCATGACTCCCAACATCAGGTAAAGCCTTTTGGTGAGTGCGCCTCCCCACAAGGGACCCAGGATCATTGCCACGCCTGTGACCGATCTCTGAATACCTTGAGCAATGCCTGGAAGACCACCACAGAATCAACACAGAGCACAGAATAACCAAATAAGAATGGCATATTATAGCAGCCTCATAGAAAAACACAGACCGGTTCTGTAGGGCCCTCTCCCCCGTCTCTGTAACAGATCTCAACTGTGGACTCTGGACAGTGTGAATATCTGCCTTCTTAAAAAATTTCCTGAAAGTTTACGTAACTAGCAAGAAAAAAATCTTTTCACAATAGAAATTCAGTTTCAATAATTTCAGTTGGACAAAGAAAATACAAATTTAACCTTACAAATTATTTTGCATAATTCAAACCAAATTTGCAACGAAAACAACAACAACGAAAAAAAAACCTAGAAAGAAATCTACACAAGACAAGATTTTCCTACTTTATTCACCACAATTTCTAATCCACTGAAGATTAAGATCATTAAGGACTTTTGTAGTGGAACCTCGATATAACAAACCTCTATGTAACGAAGTCCTCGAAAAAACGAACGATTTTCTTTACCCCAGTAATGGTAAAATATATGAAAAAGAACCTTGATATAACTAAACGTCGTTATAGTGAACACATTTTGCCAGTCCCTTGGCACTTCGTTAAATCGAGGTTCCACTGTAGCATGCATGACCACGTATTCACTTAACGAACCAAACCATCATAAATTTAGGGTGGATGTTCCTAAGGCATTTTTTAATGCCATCACAGTTGAAAATTGAGGGGAAGCAACTTCTTTTTAAACTAGTAATAATTTTATAACCAGCAACCTGCAGTCAGTTGGCTGTTCTGTGTTGCTTGATTTACCTTGTGTTTTCTCATCAGTAATTTTAGAGTAAAGGGAAACATTTGCCACAGCGAAAAACGGCAAACCAAACACAATTACTAAGGTCCCAACTATAAGGGTAGGCAAGACAACTGACTCATCTGAAAAAAAAGAGAGAAAAATACAGTTGTTATTTCTTTATTTATACTACTACATGAGAAATTTCTACAATTTGATTGGCTTAGAGCAGTGGTATTTCACCTTATTACATGTGAAAATTACACACCTTTTGCGGGTAGTAGTATAAACAGATAATAGCATGATTTGATCGTGATATTTTGCATAAATATCACTAGCAATATTTCAAAATTGTCTCAAATTTCACTCGCCTAACGGCTCGTGAAATTATGTATAACAATTTTGAAATATCACTCGTGGTATTTATGCCAAATATCACTACAAATCATGCTATTACCTATACTAACCTGCAAAAGTGGTGTCCTTTCTTGAAATATGACATTTTTTTTTTTCTTGACTGATTAAAAGAAACTAAAAAAGGCCACTGCACTCGTAACCTAACCTGCAGGTAAAAAGCTGACATTGACTCATTGTTAAATTTGAAGTTCAAGGAGAGAAAAAAACTACTTAATTAGCGAGGTGAAACTACGAAGAAATATTACAATAGGTGTTTCCAGCTCATGCAACGTAGCATTTTCAATTAATTTCCTTTCCAAAATAATAACTCTNTGATTAAAAGAAACTAAAAAAGGCCACTGCACTCGTAACCTAACCTGCAGGTAAAAAGCTGACATTGACTCATTGTTAAATTTGAAGTTCAAGGAGAGAAAAAAACTACTTAATTAGCGAGGTGAAACTACCAAGAAATATTACAATGGGTGTTTCCAGCTCATGCAATGTTACATAGCATTTTCAATTAATTTCCTTTCCAAAATAATAACTCTTTATATCAAGAACTTAACTTAACTCAGGCATTGGGTACCTCATAATTATTACAAAAAATTATTTTCCATTTTCACATGACTAAATGTTTGACAGAATTGCTTGTGTTTAGGTGAGGATTAGAACTAAAGGAGACTTTCTCGGGTAAACCAGACATACTTTTGTCTCCTACAAATAATTAGGGTTTGGAAAAAAATGTGAATCTGGCTAGGTTAATTACTGGATTATAGAGCTGAGAATAGATTTTACCTACAAAAAAACATTTTTATATTCACTACAATGTTTTTCTGGATAGTGTCCTTTCCTAACTCAAAGCATAGATATAGCTTCTGATCATATGAAGACAATTTCATTATTACTTCACACTGGATGAAAAAATGGATTTGCACAAATTTGCTCCCTGAATAAAATATGTCACAAATAATTGTAAATACTGTAGGCAGAGGAGTAAATACATTGCAAACATAGTAAATACCAGGGGGGGGGGGGGGGGGGGAAAAAGTAGGAAAATGTGGCATTTACCACGTTTGCCATATATTTACTTGTCAGCATTTATATATTTGCAACATATTTTCAAGGAAGAAATTTGTGCAAATGCATTTTTTTGTACTGTGGACAGTAACTTACATGGCTTTGCATTAGCTAAAAGAGCAAGATACCAAACTAGCGCAAAACCCTCAAAAGCAATTCCAATAACTATTAACCACCTACAAAAGACAGAGGAAACAAAATAGTAAGAGGGGAAAAAGAAGAATAATCTTCTAATCCTGATTTCCCCTCTCCATCTACCCCTGCTAAATACTCACCTCATACTCTCATAACACACCACTCATAATAATATAATAGCTGGGGACTGACTAGGGGTGACTATTGAGGAAATTTTGACTTTTACATATTGTATTGCAATAGGTCAAATGCATATTGTGATTGTATTGTGATAGTGGAGGTACTACTGCAATGGTAATGCAATAGTTTTCATCATCTCCTTTTTTTGTCACTGTCAACAACAACAGTCCTACTACGTTCACCCGGACGATCACACTCAACATACTAACTATCATGATTGTTATTGATGTCTCATTTTGACTATCGATCCATCGCTATCGCAACATTAGTATCATGATTAATCAATAGTTCGATGTATTGTTACAGCCTTAGGAGTGAGTTAGGAATTGAAGGGTATTAGCTCACAGCGCTAGGGTAGTAGACAGCAGGCAAAGGCAACGACTCTCTGAGGGTTCTCATTAAGTATTTTATGTAGACAGGTAGGATATGTTAGTAGTGATCGGCTTGGCAATCCAGTGCTGTAGGCAATTTGGAGCTTTCAGTCCCTCATTTTTTTTTTGGCTGGCTACTGGCACTTAATGATAACCCTGAAGGTTGTTGACTATTGTTTACCCTAAGGGGGATCCCATATGAAAGGGGTGAGGATGCTTGTCAGAAATTTTGAATTAAACCCCTAAAGGAGACCAATCTGGGCATGGCCCAACCTTTCTTTGACCCCTACAAGTGATCATTTTAAACTTTGATTGCATGAATCGAGTAAATAAAACGAATGCAAAAGATATCATTTTTTAACATTTCTTCAAGAGCAACCCTAAAAGAGACCTTTACGGCTAAATATAATGGCGTTTTGCCCAGAACACCCTAAGCGAGACCAAAATCTGAAATTTACTGCACCCCTAACTGACACGACAAGCATCCCCACCCCTTTCATATGGGGGTCCCTCCCCCCGTCCCCCCCCCCGGTTGTTTACCTGTCAGCTAACTTGAGACTTATCTTCCTCACAAGAATAAATACTGAAATAGCCTACAAGGAAACAACAAATGGGTAATACAACAAAAAGTTAACTCGCATATTTTCAGACAGTTCTTGTATAAGTGGCTTGGCTATCAAATTATAAAATAAGGTTGAATTTTTTCCATGCCATGGCACCCGATACCCAACTCCAAATCTTGAAATTTTAGACGGCCACACAGGCCATCTCTGAGTACCCTGTGAGCAGATTCACTTCTGATTCACAGATCGTTTCTGGTATTTCTGTGTTACTTTTAGCCCCTTTCCTAAAGTGAGTCCTGGCGCTCGTCCTTTTGTCTGAATAACAGTTCTGATCATTCAAATGCAAATAAAACTCATTTCCAAATGAATAGCTGTGCACAGGTCATACCTTAGTAAAGAAGCCAAGAGCAACTTGGAAATGGGCAATGATAAATTGCTTTATCACACAGGAGCATAGATTCTCCAAGAAGGGGGAAGGGGTCACTCTGCGTGACACCCAGAGTACATACAAGGTTGTCATGTCACCACCCATGCTGCATTCTAGCTGAATGCAAACACGACCACTGTTCAAAAACATTTTTCAAAAATTAATAGATGGTTGGTTCTTGCATCTATAGGGGGAATGTGGCCAAACTGCAGCCTAAAGGTTCTTAAATGCCAAATTTCTTAAGCTTAGACAAAAGAATTAATAGTCTACAAAAAGAACTTTTTTTTTATCTAATCCCAACAAAACTAGGTTTCTAAAAATTGGCAAAAATACATTCTCACCTCAAAAGCTATTAAACAAAAGGCAATGCTATTTTCAATTTCTTTCCAACCTAAAAGATACTCTGACAAAGGAGTAAAAATAGACTGCAACAAAAAAGAAACAAAATGAAATTCTTTAGTAACATATAAGCACAGTGGCAGATCCAGACAAAGGGCAGAGATAACTAGTGGCTGCTCTAAAAGATAGTTTTTTCTTCTCAGTTTGGACTGAAAAAAGGGTGAGTGGAACTCTAGTAGATTTGCCAATAACACTTTGTAAGCAACAGCTGCAGGCCAGCAAAAAAGCTAAGGGGATTACTGTTTCAATTAATTTAATTTTCTACTCCAAAAAAGAACTTATCCAGAACCATATATTTTTGTTCTTATTCCAGTCTATATCAGTTTTGTCAAAACACCTGAGAAATCTCTGGATTTCATAGTGAGAGTCAGCCCTTGATTAATAAACAATTTCAACTGTTATTTTTTAAGTACAAACCTCCAAAGCTGTTTCATTGAAAAAGATCATGAACTGTGAAGCTAAAATGACAATGACTTCCTCTTTGACGAGATCTAGCAATGCAAATGTTACAGTGATAAATGAATTGGGGTTAAAGTATATGATGCTGCCTGCAAACTAACCAGGAACTAAATATGACAAAATGTTTGTGAATAAGTAATAATTGTTTTCAAGACCCCTGATTATTCTTTAGGCGACAGGGAGTTGCAAATGGGGTCATACAATAAAACCAAAAAAAGCCCTTCGACTTAAAGCAAAAGCAAAATTAAATACCTGAACCAAATTTAACTTCACAAAAAAATTCCATGCTGAATTTCAAGAATGACAACGATGCCATGCAAGCGAGTTGGGCAATAATGTATTAAATCATCTGATTTTTTTTGTTAAACAAAAAAATATGCAGGTACTATAATTATGATTATATGAAGTTTAATGTAGAGTATGTAGCTTGTTACTACAAGGTCTTAGATTTTCAAGCAAGAGTATCTAGGAATCTCTTAGATTTCACCATTCGCCATATATATATATATATATCAACCAAATGCCTGCCACTGACATAGAGTAAACCAACCTTTGGCCAAGTGCCAATCATCCACTACAGAATTTGTCCTCCGACGTTTGCGATAACTTCCATCGATGTTGGTGAGTTTCTGTTTTTCACCTTTCACATACCCGTTGCTGTTAACACTGTTATCAGTTGACACACATAAATCATCATCATTTTCACTCATCACGTTTGGCAAATCAAAGTAAAAGAACACCATTATAAGCTCTACGATCAGCCATACAACAGCCATAAAGATCTGCCAAACAAAAAACGAGAAATAAATTCTTTGGTGTAGCCGTGTATGTTTGTAAGGTAAAGGAAAAGGCACAGATAAGCCAAAGGCCCAAACAGCCGGAGCGTATACCAGTTTCTGTAGCATAAAGCCTGCCTAGGAGTATTGACCCGATCCTTGGCCAGCTCAAAACATTTGCAAAAACTGTTATAAGAGACCGTGTTTGATATACTCATTATAAAATACATACTGGTTTCCCACACAATGTATGAAATTAAGGAAAAAAAATTTACTAATAACCAAAAAGGCCAAATTTATAAATCAAGTTTAACTACAAGGCTAACAAAAACAACAACAAAAATTATGGCCATATTGTCCAAAATAAACAAAGTGTATCATAATTCACAGTTACGAAGACAGTCAGAATAATTCAGAGTAATTAACAGTTAATGAATGAGGCTGAGTATTATGAAGAATTATGGAGATCGAGGAGGTTGTTATCCGTCGAGGCCGTAGGTCGAGGCGGATAACACCCTCCGAGATCTCCATAATTCTTCATATGACACGAAAGCCGAATTCAATAACTGTTTTATTATTCATTCAAAATAATTCCTAGTTTAAAAACATAGCTAAAACGTGCTTACCTCCATCGATCTGTCGATGTCCAGTTCATCTTCGATAGTGTCCATTTAGGTTTGTCCAGCTCCGCAAATATTCTCCAAATAGCAGATGTCGCCCTTCGAATTGTCTTCTTGCTGTTCTTGCCATGTTTTTAGCTATTTTTTTGCCTAGTTCTTACTCTTAAAACGAGTGAAATGTCTGCCATTTTTTGAAGTTCACAACCAAAACAACTCAAACTCATCCCCAGATCTTCCCGGTTAACGGTGCCTTAACCTACGAAAACGCTGCATTTTTGACTTAATTTCCTCGTTAAAGTCAAATTTCTTCCAAATTTGGTTATCAGTAACTGGTTATGGTGAATTAAACGTGTGCTTCTAGCCAATCAGAATCGGGGAAATAGTTTGAATGAATAGTAGTATATTTTATTAATCAAATCTCAACTTACACCAGGTGCAGTGTACTTGTCAATCAAAAATGGACCTAACTTCACATTGAATTCCCTTAAAAAGAGGTTGAGGCCAGGCCCTGAAAATCACATAACAACAAAGAAAATTGGTGGGAAATATTTTATATGAGGCACAAAAACCATTAAGAGTGCTCAAATAATAAAAATTAATAATGCAGGGACTAAAAGGGAAAATATATGAATAGAGTATGCCTAAAATAACCCAAGGTAATAACAGATATCAACATACCTACTAACAAACCAAACTGTCGTAAGGCCATTGCAATGGAGTACATCCCTGTTCGTTCCTTTTCCGTTGTTGTCCTTGCAATTTGAGCAAATATACCCCCTCCTATGCCAGCACCTATGCCTATTAAAGAGGTTGTGATCAGCAATCTATACACCAATGAAAGTCATATCTGTTATCTGCACTGATAGATTCTTTGTCTCCTAATCTTACAGTGCGACCACACAAACCAAGGCCACACCCACTGTGTCCATTGCTTAGATCTTGACTTGTGATTGGCTGATTTCAAAATCTGTCTCAAAATTTTGCCTGGGTGGCTTCGGTTCATGTGGTTGCAGTATAACCTTTCATGCAAAATGTTGTAAACTTCTTGACTCCCACCCTTATCTATTCAAAATCATGAAAAATTGGATTTAGGAGAAGCAAGTTAAGGATCAGAATAGGCTAAAATCACTTTANAAATTAATAATGCAGGGACTAAAAGGGAAAATATATGAATAGAGTATGCCTAAAATAACCCAAGGTAATAACAGATATCAACATACCTACTAACAAACCAAACTGTCGTAAGGCCATTGCAATGGAGTACATCCCTGTTCTTTCCTTTTCTGTTGTTGTCCTTGCAATTTGAGCAAATATACCCCCTCCTATGCCAGCACCTATGCCTATTAAAGAGGTTGTGATCAGCAATCTACACACCAATGAAAGTCATATCTGTTATCTGCACTGATAGATCTTTGTCTCCTAATCTTACAGTGCGACCACACAAACCGAGGCCACCCCCACCATGTCCTTTGCTTAGATCTTGACTTGTGATTGGCTGATTTCAAAATCTGTCTCAAAATTTTGCCTGGGTGGCCTTGGTTCATGTGGTTGCAGTATAACCTTTCATGCAAAATGTTTAGAACTTCTTGACTCCCAACCTTATCTATTCAAAATCATGAAAAATTGGATTTAGGAGAAGCAAGTTAAGGATCAGAATAGGCTAAAATCACTTTAACTTGACTTTCAGTTTAAACTACAACAAAGGTATAATAATAATTATAAATGACAATACAATAATTGTATTGTCATTTATAAGTCAAGTAATTAAATAATAATACAATAATTATTATTGTATTATCATTTAATTACTTGACTTATATCCCCTCAGTCTGCAAACTTTGCATGACTGTATTTGTGAACTTTAATATTACAGTGAAGTCTTAGTGACAGCAGCAACAAAACCAATCTGATATAGCATTTTATTTCAAAAACTCATTAATAATTCATAAAGAAAAAACAAAAGAACTTATATATGTTTAATGAGTGTCTTTTGTATTCCACTTTCTATCAAAACACTTTAAAAAAATCAATTCAAAAGCAAACTAAAGAGAAAACTCTTTGAAATACTGGAAAAAGAGGACGACTATATTAGAGTTTCTGATATTACAGGGCAATTCTCAAAATCATAACATGGTGTACTTCTGTATGAAGTACAGTCTGCCTTCCTGTCTCACTCTGGCTATAAACCACACGACAAACTAGATTGCTTCTAGGATTGTTCGTTTAATATATATATATATATATATTTATATTTATAGAATTTTCTTTTTCTCTTGTACCCGCCTCGAATAGCCTTCGCTAATTGTGGGCACAAGCTTTGTAAGCTATATTTAATCTGAAATAAACTTGTTGTTGTTTATATCTGAAAAAGACACTGCTAAACTTTATGTCCAATTTTTAGACCAAAATATCACCAAATATAAAATTTAGTGTTAGTGTAAGAAAGAATAATTGATCTATACCAGAGATTTTGAAACTGTTCAAAAAACTCACAGTCGTGTATTATCAGGTGTAAAAACTCTCTGCTTTGCCTGCAGTTTTTTAAACCTGAAAATACACTCCTTCTCATTTTTTAAAGATTTTTACAACAAACCTGCTACAAGTCGTGCACCAAGCACCCAGTACTTGGACCAAGCAATACAATACAAGAAATTTCCTGAAAGATAAAACAAATTGTTGTAAACTAAAATTTTACTCTTTGGTTACAACACTGAAAAAAAGTTTAAAATTTTGAGAGAAAATGATTCTGGGCCCAGAGAGAGTGGAACCTGGAGAAGAGAAAATGGGAGTCCAGAGGAGAACAGAGGAATCCATGAACAAAGCCACTGGATTGTTTTTAATCACATGTAAAGGGCTCAAAATAACGGCCGGTCAACTCCAGCCAAAAGTTCAAGCCGCAAGTCATGTTGACCATTCATGCATGTCCTGAGAAAAGATCCAAATCCATACCTGTAAATCTTAGATTTTGTCTCTTTGTAAAAATACAATTATGTTCATTGATTCAATTACACAAGGATTAGTTCACCTTTTTTCCAAGTTTTTGACCAGTCCAAAAAATGAGATGACCGAGCAAAAATTTCTTTTGCCAGTGATTGTGTCCGGTCACCATCGGAAAATTATTTTGAGCCCTGCATGTATGTAAAACTACCTTAGACAAATATTTAAGGACTTTGCACACAAGAAACTGCCATCAGTTTAAACAGTCATAAAGAACTTTGACATCAAACTTGTGCAGGGAGAAACAACCTGAACGAGCATGATTCAGTCAAACAGGCCATAGAAAAACTGACAATAAAGTTGACCCAAAAGTTTCAATGAAGATCTTGAACTTGAAGATCTTCAATCCAGCTAATTCTATAATCCTAAAAGTTTTCCCCAAACCTTTCCCGTAAAAATGAACCCTATGTACAAATGCCAAGCAAAAGGAAAGAAAAAGAATGAGCAAAAAAACAGGTGGGAAAGGGAAAAGGTGAAAGAAAAAAGTCAAAAAAGGGAGCTCCACTTTTAAACAGGCAGGTACAAAAGTCGGACCGGATCAACTCGGACCGCCAGTCCGGGTCGGATCAACTCGGATCGACTCGGACCAACTCGGATCGAATAAAAAAAATAAAAAAAACATAAAATTGGACTCGGATCAACTTGGATCATAAAAAAGAAACAACGCGGATTATAAAAAGAAAAATAAAATCAGTCGGTATCACTTAACTTCCACCCGCCATTTGTTTTTTTCTCACAAACTTGTGGTTGCGTAAATTAATTTTATNTCTATAATCCTAAAAGTTTTCCCCAAACCTTTCCCGTAAAAATGAACCCTATGTACAAATGCCAAGCAAAAGGAAAGAAAAAGAATGAGCAAAAAAACAGGTGGGAAAGGGAAAAGGTGAAAGAAAAAAGTAAAAAAAAAGAGCTCCACTTTTAAACAGGCAGGTACAAAAGTCGGACCGGATCAACTCGGACCGCCAGTCCGGGTCGGATCAACTCGGATCGACTCGGACCAACTCAGATCGAATAAAAAAAATAAAAATAAAATAAAATTGGACTCGGATCAACTTGGATCATAAAAAAGAAACAACTCAGATTATAAAAAGAAAAATAAAATCAGTCGGTATCACTTAACTTTCACCCGCCATTTGTTTTTTTCTCACGAACTTGTGGTTGTATAAATTAATTTTATTTTTATTTATTTTAATGATACACTTGTGAGCAGCACACATACACTTCCAGTGAACATTTTCAACTTGAAAGGAGGAGAAATCATGCTCGCCCGGGACAACGAAAATTTTCGTACCCAAGGCGAGAATTGAACTCACAACCCTCGGACGTTCCAACCACTGAACCGGAGGGTCGCGAGTTCGATTCTTGCCACGGGCATGGAAATTTCCTTTCTCCCCGGCGAGCATGGTTTCTCCTCCTTCCAAGTAGAAAATGTTCACTGGAAATGTATGTGTGCTGCTCACTAGTGTATCATTAAAATTAAGTTTCAGAAAGTCCTGCAGAAAAAAAAACAAACAGGAACAAACAAACAAACACTCTTCGGTAACTATCTAAGTGCGATCAACAGACCAGGCTTTTGATGCTTTTCTCATAAATAATTCAGTAGTCTAATAAACATTCTAGGCGACTGAAACTATCATTTCTTTACTGTCGAACCACAACCACGAGTTTATAACGTGATCCGAGAGGAACTGGCACTAGTAAAACAAAATGGCGCCAAAAGGATGATCTGGCCTTTTTTACCCCCCAAATGGGTTAAACTTTTAGTTTTGCTGATTTAATTTAATTTTTTTAATTGCTCCGAGTTGATCCGAGTCCAGTTTTATTTTATTTTTATTTTTTTATTCGATCCGAGTTGGTTCGAGTCGATCCGAGTTGATCCGACCCGGACTGGCGGTCCGAGTTGATCTGGTCCGACTTTTGTACCTGCCTCTTTTAAACCCCAAAAAAGTTTTGCTCTGTTTCCAGTTAGCCCGCACAGGAGTAGAGCTACCTGGAATTTGAGAAGTACCCATGCCCAGGTGGCCAGGTTTTTATTCCCAAAAAACCTTACAATGTTGACTCACCTCCTATTTCAAACAGATTTGCAAACAATATGGCAGTTTTGGTTTTCTGTGTGTAGTCCACCCAGAAACCAAACAAAGGACTCGATATTAAATTTGAGAAACAGAATGCTGAAAACACCACTCCAAAAAACCATGGCTCGGCATCAAATTTATGCTGCAGATACAACCATAATGTGGGCAGAATGACAGCTATGGACAAGATTTTATAAAAAAAAATCAATGGTTATTTATTCAACAGTGGTAACCCCAAACATATAACCATCAGATCATGCACTTATCACCTGTAAAAATAAAAGAAAATTGCATAAAAACGCTAGCGAACGCTTCGCCTATTGACCAATCAAAGACGAGCTTTCCTAGATATTTTTATTTTTTTAACCGAAATAGGTCTGATCTGTCAAATTATATCATGTTCGATCCTTTCCACCGAGTTTTAGGTCAAATTTAACGGTAAATTTAGGGATCTTAGTTTTCGTAATTTCAAAAACTAAGACCCCTCTTAGTTTTTGTAATTACGAAAACTACAAAAGACCCCCACCAAAACAATCTCTAAAATTTCTACAAAGTCGAATTATGACCGTTTGAAGGCTATAATCCGTAAGACAAACAAAAACTACTTTCATCCGCATGCTAGACGATCCGCTTCTTCTAACAATTTGCAGACATACATTATCAATATTGCGGCTTTAAGAAGAGGATGAAAGCTATAGACTACCTACGTATAATTGTACAATGAAAATATGCCTTACCCCTATAATTTTGGTTGTTTATCCTTAATTTTCCACTGGAGATGGATTTTTGTCATCGTTGCGGGCTGACATGTCGCTGCGACCTGAATGCCTGATCGCTAAGTGGTCAAGGGTGTTATCGGTTAAACATCACACAAAAATACGGATTTTTTTTTTTCCTTTTCTGGCCAGGTCATAGATAGAAGCTTTTACAAAAAGGGCGAAAAAAGGAGAATATGCTACATTGCCTTTCTCTAGTGTTTGTTTTTATCGTTGCCACCCCAGAGATCACCGGGTTACAATGCAAAGGTAGTTGAGGGGTAGGGGTGGGGGCAAGGACAAATAGTCTGTGAGGGATAATTGCTAAAATCACCCATGAAATAATGAAAAAAAACGAATGAGTGAATGAATTTCCTGTACTAGCAAAGCATCGTCTCAAGAATTGGAGTTCTAATTTCAGAACAATAAAATAAACAAACAATCAATACAAAGTAAAGATTGCATGACAGTAGGTTGCCAGAGGTCAGGATTCCCGGAAAAACATCCATCTCCAGTGGAAAGCCAATTTCATGATTTAAAGGATAAACAACAAAATTAAATACCAATAGGGGTAAGGCATATTTTCAGTGTACAATAGATACGTGGGAAGTCTATGGCCTTGGTCCTCTATTTAAAGCAAATTGTTAGCGGATCGTAGATCAGCACGCATATGATAGCAGTTTTGTTTGTCTTCAAACGGTCGTAATTCGACTTTGTAGAAATTTTAGAGATTGTTTTGGTGGGGGTCTTTGTTTTCGTAATTACGAAAACTAAGATCCCTAAATTTACCGTTAAATTTGACCTAAAACTCGGTGGAAAGGATCGAACATGATATAATTTGACAGATCAGACCAACTTCGGTTACAATTTGACTTTATATTTCGACGGATTCGATTTTAGGGGGTCTTAGTTTTCGTAATCTCGAAAACTAAGACGGGTCTTAGGTCTTAGGTCTTAGTTTTCGAGGGTCTTAGTTTTCGTAACGCCCAAATATTTTTAATCTCGTATTTATCTGCTCTTCACTTATGTCCTTGAATTATGACATTTTATAACTCATTACTAAACCACAGCCTCTAACCAGTTAGTTTGCTTCCATCGCTTTCCAAAGTTTTTTTTTCGTGTGTGTTTACGAAAAGAGGTCATCGTGAGTCATATCATGTCCAAAGCCCCTATGTTTATAGCTGATTCATAAGCTCTTAGTGTTAGCTAAATGTACACCTCAGCTACATGTATTAAGGTTTAAATTAATTTTCTCGGCTGAGTTTTGCCACTTTTTCTCAGTTTCAATCAATTTTTCCAAAAAAGAATTGGAAAAACTTTTTAAGATTTATACAACTATTCGGCTTTTCGGTCGTGATGCAATGCATAAACGTACAGGTTACTCTTGTTTGCAGACGTATCAAGAAAAACTCTCACCATATTCGGTTCCTCCAAGTAGGAAAAATAATCCAACACAGACTCGAGTAGACTTTTTCTTGGAGTTTAGGTTCATGTTTCACTTGTTTTCAAACCCGTAAAGAAGACTCTCATCCGATGTTTAGTGCAAAGTGCCGGTCGTGCCGGTAGGCAGTCACGAGAGACATATTTAATCTATAATCTTGATTGGTTGACAAAACAATGGTTTCTGTATTTGGAAGTCAATATGGCGACGAACAGGGTGGAGGATTCTGGGGCAAGGCACGTGGCGTCTCGAGATTGTATCCAGAGCAAAACAACTTAAAAATGGGTCGGTTTTGCAGCTTATTTTGTCCCAAGTTTGCCAGAGATTAAGTTCTGTTAGTCACTGAGCTACTTGGTAGTCGATCAGAAGCATAAATATTGGGAAACGAACAGGCTTGAATCCGCAACATGGCAAGCAAATCTACCAAGCTGAAGACTGCCACATCCAGGGCTGCGACTCCAGTCTTATCTGCAAATTTGTCGAATTCGTCGTTTGATTATTTGCCAGCGACCGGATTAAAGGGTAAATCTCCAGCTAGTTCATCCAGGAACTTGAATGTTCAACCTGATTTGGATCTTATCGGCGGGTTTGCCTTCTTATCTTTCGCGTCTCTTGCACAGCTCGAGGCTCACATCGAGCACAACGAAGCGAAGTTTGCCGCTGTTAGCGTTGATGTTGGACAAAAAAGGAAGGCTGGATATCCTAGAAAACAAGAGGGAAGTAGCTCCGAGGTCGATGGTCCTCCAAGTAAGAAGAAACCGAAAGCTTCGAAGAAAAAATCGACGAAGAAAAATCCTGATGCATCGACAAGCAACTTGGCGGCAAATCCCAGGGAAGCTTCGCTCCCATCCAAGAAAGAAACTTCATTGGTAGATAGCGTCATCGAACCCGGTGAGCTTTCTTCCTTTTTTGGACAAACTGGTGTTTGTGGAAGCGTTAATAGAACGCTGGAACATTCTCCAAACTCCGAATTAGAAATTTCTCTACTTTGTTCAGAAACTGTCCCAGATTTAGGAGATGATGAGGAAATTCCAGGACAGCAAGACCTTGGATCAAAAGTTTTGGCTAACAGTGAAAAGCAGGCTGCAGGGCATGGAAGTGCAGATAATTCTTCTATTCAAGTTAATGATAACATTGGTGAAGTGGCTAGTGATATGGCTGATCAAAAGCCAAAGAAGAAAAAGAAAAAGAAAAAGTCTGAACATTGTGATCAAACAAGCCAGACTAAGTTTAGAATAAAGAAAAGAAACAAGCTTTCCTCCCAGAATCAAGGTTCTGTTGTGGGATCATCTAGTGTAACAGTGGATCAGTTGAAGGATGGCACCCCTCTTGATGTAAATATCCAAGAAATGGGCAACAACAAAGGACAAACAAAACTATTATCAGCCAAATCTGTCATTGAAAAGACAAGTTGTGCTCGTACAACTGCCTACCAAGGGGCTAACAAGAACTGCACAGTCAAAAGTAGAACCTTTGAAATAGGTTCAGCAAGTAGCACCTCTGGAGAAGTAATTGTGGAAAGAAGCTTTGACAGAGTTTCAGCTGATGGCTGTACCCCTAACAACAGTGATAGAGAAATTGATGTTGACATTTGCGACCTAGAAACCAGGAGTAACAGCATGCTTTCTGATATAAGTGATCATTCCTCTGATATTGAAACATTTGATCCTAATCGTTGCTTCTTGTTGAATAACAAGACTGTTAAAATTGAAAAGGAGGATTTCGAGGAGGAAGGTGGAATTGTTGATGTTGACATTGAAACGGTCAGCAAAGAAGTAAAGAAGAACTTTCTGGTTGTGAGTGGTATTGAGTTGGGACACTTCAGTTACCATCCTGCTGAAACAAAGGAAGGAACAATTGACACCTCAATACAAGCATACTCAAATGAGATTGATATTTTCTTACAATGTGCCAAGATGCAAGAGGGACAAATTATAAAGATTATACACCCAGATGATTCTCTAGAATTGCCTTCTCCTGGCACGTTGAAAAATCAGGGTCGGGATCCTGACGTTGTCAAGGCAACAAGAAGTGCCACTGAAAGAAGACGTCGTCATCACCTGGGAGATTTATTTCAAGACATGAAGATGGAGGTGTTCACAGATCTCATGGACTCTGATAATAATTTTATGTACTTTAGTAAACAAGCAATACTTAGCAAAGCAATTAATACACTAGAAGAACTAGTACAGGGAAAAACTGACTTAAGCAAAACAAAGGAGCAATTGCTTCAACAGAACAAGGAATTGAAAGAGAAGAGAAACATGCTGATGTTTGGGAAATCATCAGTTGATGTTGATGATGTAAAAGTTGAAGCCATTCTCAATCAGCTTAATATCAAAGTAGAACCAAGTGCACAAAATGTTGAAGTTTCAGAGGTTAAGACAAGTCAGGAACAAGAACAAGCAAATGTCAAGCCGGGTGCTGACAGCAAAAACACTACTACAGTTGAGCCATCTGCAAGAGGGCGCCCAAAGAAGAATTTTTTGCCTCCCTGGTTGCTTAAACCTGCCTTAAAACCCAATGATGACACAGGTAAAGCTACCACTAATGCGGCAAATAGAGCAAATCCTCAGACAAGGCTGGAAACCCCTAAAGTAACTATGACTAGCACTGTATTGTCACAGGAACCCAGTTCAGTGAAAACCTCCAATGTATCATGCGGTGTGCAGACACATGGAGAAGAAACTGCTTTACCAAAAGCTGATAATCCAACTTTGTCAGAAATTATGTTGTTAAGTGGCAGTAAAGTGAAAGGCAAGGCCACTCACGAATCAACATGTCAAGTAGCCTCTGAACCAAGTCAAGCAGAAAATTCACCAAAAGTGATTCATACTATCACTTCATTGACACAAACTGCACCAGCAACAAAAATTTCCGCTGCTTGTAATCAAAGTCAAGACAAAGAAAAAAGTGTAGAAGCACACAACAGTGCACTGAAAAACACAGGCATTGACCAGCCATCATCGCAAGATGGAGCTGCTAAACCAGGTTTAGTAAAGATTTTACCCAAGCCAGCCATTTTCCAGTTAAATCCTAATCAACAGAAGGCAATCATGGAGTCCCTTGGACAGATCAAACAACCATCAAGTGATAAGATTATCTGCAATCTCTCACGATTAAGCACCCAAACAAACACTAGTACACCTTCCAGGATTTGTATTATCAGAAGTAGTCAGTTGATGAAGAGTCTGGACAGTAAGGATGTCATGCACCTCAAGATTACAAATGACCCTGTAAGAAATTTGAACACTGGTAGTAGTAACGTTAATGCAACATCTACAGTACCGAACATGCCAAATGTAAACTCCCCACCAAATGTGCTTGTAATGAGTGCTGCCCAAAGACCTGCATTGGTGACATCAAAACCTCATCTGACTGTATCATCAACTCAACCAGTGTTGTCAGAAATCAAGACAGTACCAGGTGTTCTGTTATTGAAAAGCATTCCAAACCCTGAAGCACCAGTGTCCACAGTCCATATGGCACAAAAATATCCTGAAAAACCTGCGCTAGCATGTGGAACATCAAGCCAGACTGTTTCTTCAGGGCAAAACATTCTTTTGTTGAAAAGTACTCAAAAATCAGTAGCACCATCTCCAATGGCTCAGATGCAACAAATGGTGCATGGAAGAACTTTGTTGACACCTACAACAATAAGCCAGTCAGTTATGCTAGGTCCTAAGACAGCAGCAAATACCCTTTCAGTGAGTAGTACACAACTGCCTGGAGTGATGACTTCAACTGTACAAATTCCACAAACGCAGTGTGCTAAAACTGTTTTAACAACTGTAGTACCAAGCCAACCATTTCTGTCAGAGAAAAACACAGTGCCAAATGTAAAAGTACCAACTTCAGCTAAATACGTCGCACAAAAACAACCAGAGAAAACCACTTCTGTGTATGGAACATCAAACCAATCAGTATCCTCAAGCATGCAAACAGAGCTATTGCCGCTTTTACTGACTGGTAATAAAAAACCTGAAACGTCAACTTTCACAGCTACAGCAGTTCAGCAGGATCACAAGAACACAGTGCTAGGACCTGCAGTAGCAAACCAGCCGGTTTCATCTTCTTTTATAAGAATAATGCCTTCACATATTTCAATGGGAAACACAAACAAAAACCTTGAAGTGGGAACCTCAGTTGCTCAAATGCCACAGAGTCATTCCAAAAGAACCATGCTGGTGTCGCAGGTTCCATTGAAATCTCCTGTTACCACATCTTCACCTAAAATGGTAGTTGGCGGGCAGCAGATAAATTTGTTGTCTACAGGTAATACTGAAACACCATCAAGTACCGGTTCAGCAAGTGCAGATGATGTGACTCTTAGAGCACTTGCATCACTGAACCAATTTCAGGTTAACAAACCAGCACCTCCTCTAACAGACGCAGTATCCAATCCATTATTCCCAAACAAAAACCCTGGAGCTGGATACTTGACGGGTTTGAAAAATGTTGTGATGAATGTTGATGCTGGGGGAGCTAAAATTCATCCCACATCATCTGTCTATACCATTCCTATAGTGACTGTGACATCATCATTTAAGACAGCTACAACAAGCAAAGTTGCAGTATCTTCTTCAAATCACAAGTCATTAGAGGAGCATTCTGTCATGCCGACCGTCTGCTCAACACCTCTTGTATTCATTCCTACTTCAATTTCGCTAAACAGCTGTTTCACTTCTTCAAGCTGCATGTCATCCGGAAAGGGTACTGTATCAACTCTTCACTCAACAGGACCTGGATCAGCAGTCATTTCAGTACCAACCTCAACTTCACTAAAGAGCAGTTTCACTATGTCAGCTCTCAACACCCCCATACCAACTGCAAGCATCAACGCTGATCGTCATCTTAGTGCAATGCCACTGGTTACCAACAGTTTAGATCCATTTAATCTTGTACCCAAACAACTGCCACTGTCTAAACCAGCTATCCCTTCTGAGCCAACGACCATAACAAGCAGTTTAAACATTGGAGCTGAAGTTCCAATTCAAGTCAATGAATGTGACACCTCTCTTAGCCCTCTGCTTATTGCAGATGAGATATTCAAACCCGAAACATCAAACTCATCAACAGTTTTGACCCAAGAGATGCTGAATATTCCTGGCATAAAGCAAAATGCAGATCTGTCCAGTGTGCTTTTAGATCCATCAGAACTACCCATACCAGATATTCTGCCAAACCTAGGTGAAATGGACGAAACTATTGATTCCATGAAGGTAACAGCGCCATCACGTATTGTTAACAAACCAAATACCAGTGGATCTAACACAAGCAGTTCTGGAAGACAAGCTGATGCATCTTTGTACTCATTGCGCAGTTCTTCTACTAATGCTAACAAGCAGACCAGCCCACTAAAGGTGGCAATAAAAGACTTCAGGAAAGGTAGGACCTACTTTTAGTTATTGTTTGAGAATAGGATATGGCTGAGCCTCTTGTTGCCAATCCAGAAGGAAGCTCTCTTGAAGGGGCAGTGGGATTAGGGATGGAGAGGGTGGGTTGCCATTATTTTCCAGCAACAATATTTAAGGGATGCCTAAAACAGCCCCAAACTGTGCTCTGATAAATTTCTAGATTCTCACCATAAATAACCTTGTATCTTCTACCAAAAAGAGGATTTGCTATTGGTTACTAATTACTAGAGCCTTATTTCACTTTTTTTTAAAATAAAAGATGATGGTGCACACTGGACTATTTCATGTCAGCTGTTCAAAAATATTAACAACAGTGTTGGCAACTTCTTTTTTTGAGGGCGGGGGGGTGTGGGGGGGAATGAATACAACAGTTTAAGTATGTACAGTTTTTTTGTGTGTTTATAGCTTAAAAGATTTCTTGATTTAAAGTGAGACTTTTGTTCTTCAACAGGTAAATCATTCATTGAGAAATAATGTGCTTTCCTGGGAAAACAAGAGTGAAGCTTGCAATACTGGCAGGTGACCGAACCAAATGGATCTATGCTTAGTTAACATCTCCACATTTTCTTTAAAGTACAAGTGGTTTAAGACTATGCATTTATGCAGCACTTAGGTTCCATAATTAATTGACAGGAGTCTGTCTAAATGTCGCACAGGCTTATTTGTTTGTATGAGGTCTCCTTTAAGTGACTGAATCCAGACCAAGGCCTGGCTCCTCAAAAGATGGACTGGTTAAATCCAGGGTTAGACCAAATTTGTAGCAGAGTTGTCTTTTTCAGGAAGATGTAACTGGATCCTGGTTGATAATGCAAAATGATACTATGAACAATAAAAAGGATGGTGAATAAATTTTAAACTAAAATTTTAACCCTGGATTAGCAGTAATCACCCTTCTAAGAACTGGACCCAGTCCTTTTCGAAGGCAGTGGTTCTGTTATTAAGTAACATCCATTTGGGACCAGTCTTGCTTGAACAGAAACATTGTTTCTGCAGCAGATTGTGTCACAGAATGTATTGTAAGGTAACAGAAAGGTTTATAAAAGTTTGAGTGTTTCTATGTAAGTGTTATTCTCAAGTGTGTATAATTAAAATGCAAGCCAGCGGCGAGCCATGCAGTCCATTGAAGACTCATTAAAAAAAAACACAAAAAAAAAAATCAAAAACAGTAATATGGAAAACATTAACTGAAAGCTAACCATTGTAATTAATTGTTTAACCCTAAACAACGCTTAACCCTAGCCCTAAAATGAGTGCTTAGCCCTAATCTGTAAATGAAAGCTTAACCCTAATCAGTATAAATTAATGAGTGCTCAATTCCTAATCTGTAAATTTGCAGTTTTTATTTGTTTTCACTTTATTTTTATCAGTGGCTCGTGTGACTTGCATGGCTCGCTGGCTGACAGCTTGTCAAGACCCATTATTCTCATAATTTGTGGTAACTGCATGGGAGAGCTTTCAGACCGTGATATTTACATGTATACAAGTTATTTTGAATTGTGCGTATTTAAACAAAAAATGTGATAAGGCATAGACTGTCCCTTGACGTATGTAGAAAATAAAAGAACATGTTAACTAGATAGTGGCATGCATAGAATAGTTAAAGTGTGCGCTAGCTAGTCTCAGCACAAGAGGTGTCATTAGGTTTCTTTGCAAATCAAAGTATGGTGATGCACTATATTGTAAGGCAAAGTGAGCATCATTAAAACTACTTTCTCCGTTTCAACAAAGGGTAAGTGAGATATAGCACCAAGTGAAAGTAACCACAGGCATCTTAAACTCACTATGTGAGCACTTGAAGCACAAGATGTACATCTAGTACCGGTAATGTTGTATAATGCAGCCATACATTACAAGAGCTCACATAGTGCATTTGGGGTGCCTATGAAGTCAATATTCTTACTGATGTCAAATTCACCCTTTACTTCATCATAATGAGGCATTTTATGAAAAATCACGTAAGGCTTATTTCATGCAACCCTTTGAAATTATCACAACAATGCTGAGTTGTTGAATATAATTTTTACGTAACGAGATTGTTGTGATGGCTGTTGTGGTAAATTTAACTTAAGGTTGGTAGGTTCACTGTATTTTTTGCTGTTAGAGCAGTACTTCTAAGCAAGACATCGGTCAATAAATTTTAGCGACTGCCTTACATTTTCCTACCTTGAATTTCTGGAACTTACTCAGTTAAACTGAGTTTAAAATATTCCGATTAACATTGGTATTGTTCATAGTATACAAATTTCCTTGGTAATGGCCCTAATGCATTTTTACGTCAGAAAAGCAAAGTTCACCACCAAGCCTCTTGCATTAATGAATTCCCAAGGCAGTACTGTTGAAAAGAATACCCATGGACAAAGAGCGTGAAAAAAATGCAACAGATTATCCTTACAAACAAAACTTGGTGGTGGAATTTGCTCCTCTGACATAATTTCATCACCAGATGAAACTCTGAGAAGAGAGTTGAAAATACAATGTGCAGTGGAGTATTTTTGACGAACTTCAAGGTGTTTCATCTGGTGATGAAACACTGAATGCTTGATATTACTTTTCAAACAAAATGATTTTAGAAGGAGAAATTAAGGATGCAAAATTGAGCAGTTTTTCATCTGATTTCCAAACACTCGTAAAACACTCATTACATTTCCTTTGTATTTTCTTTATGAATTATTAATGAGTTTGAGAAGATTATTTCTTTGTGTCAAAGGAATGTATTATGATAGTAGTGGTTACTAAAAAATTCACTAAGTGAATATTAAAGTAAATTCCACATTTGCAAACAATGCAATTTTTTTTAGTTTCAAGAATAAGACTGTTAAGTGTGTTCTGAGGTAGACTATTAAGATGTTCATGGTGGTAAGTAAATGCTGAGGGAAACAGTCATTCGCAAATTCCACTTTCCCTTAGCAATCTCTATTCCCCACTTTTCCTCTATGTTGCAATGCCATTCTATTGTGACATAATAAAACTGTGAAAGAGACTGAATTGACTGAATTTAAATTTAATTCTAAAGGAACTGTCTTCTTAACACATTAAAGGCTTATATGCTGCTTAAGGAACAAGTCAAAAAATCATTATTGTTAAGGGGCGGAATTGTGGAAATGGGTGGAGGAACACTATAATATTGTTTAAGAAGCCTAATATGAAACCCCCCTTTTTCATTATTTATCACAAGTTTTTAGGCATCTAATAAAAGTGTTATGAGAAGGGCAGTCAAGAGAAATTCCATTCAACTGGTTATATTTCACCTCTCAGTGAATCTCAAGTCACCAGGGAAGGGGTTGCAGAGGTAATGTAACTCAGGTTAGTTACGTGTGAGAAGCAGTGCCAAGATCTGGGCCACCTATACAGACTCAGGGAATTACCAGAATTGCATTTTGAATTTCCTGTCAACCTGATAGCCAAATCAACAATGGCTTTTTAACAGGCCAATCATCGCTCATACTCAAATCCTGGTACACAGGTGGGGACCCAGAACAAGGATTTTGGCACCGTTTCACAGACAGACTTTTCCAGAGTTAAGTTTTGTCTGTGGCACAGGCTAGGGAAGGGGTAAGCTCTCTTTTTCTATGGCTGTCTTCACACTATATACATGAACATAACTCTCAAAAGATGAAGGTCAGACTTGAGTCAGCAATGAAAGTTTGACCCTTCTGAATTGAAGCATTCTTTTTAAATGGAGAGCTTGCTCGCAGGCTTTGTTTTTTTTTAACTGGACAAAGAGGAGTAACAGTTGACACTTTTTGAACATTTATTTTTGTTAAAAAATATGTTATAACAATAAATACTCTGACAATAATAATAAATATATATTTTTTATAGCATCATTAACTGTTATTGCTGTCTCCTTTACAGAGAAATTTTTCCCACACTTCACTGGCAGGAACAGTTGTCTTTGTACAAGAATTTACAATGTCCGCAATAAGGGTAGCTGAGTCCTGTAAGCATAAATAGGAAAGAATAACTTTTTAAAAATATTAGTTGTTACATTGGTTCACAAGGTTCCAGCTCTTTATAATCATGACTAGCATCACATTTCATTCTTAAACTTATTAATGTCAGCTTTTGCATGCAAAGAAAGTAGTGTCCAATAGCCGGGGGCTAGTGGATTTTGTCATCGGGCTAGTGAATTC